AATCTCCTATCTATTCCCTTAGGCTCCATTTGAATCACCGATTGATTTCAGTGCAGCACGATTCATACCTTCAATCGTCAGTGGAAACTGTTTGAATCACCTGTTCCAGCATGATTCAACTTTTTTTTATCGCACTAAAGCCTTCAATTTACTGTAGTTTAAGGGTCCGGTGCAAAATCAACTACTCCACTGCATCTTTTCTTTCCTTTTATGCCCCTGTTATCTATTTTTTAATCCTCCACCGTATAGTGTAGAGTCACCTTTTGTCTTTTTTTGTTATATATATTTTCATTTTTTATTTAAACTTTTTCATATAACATTATTATAATTATATAATAAATCATTTATATATTTCAATAAAATTTTTAAAATTTTAAATGTTAAATATATAAAAATGTATATAAAAATAATTTATTATTATATTCTGAAATTAATTTATTTAATGATAATTTATTTAATAATAATTTATCTTATTGCCATTATTATTTTTATATTTAAATGTATATTTCATTAATAATTTTAATTTTATTATTATAATAATTAATTTTATTATTACAATAATTAATATTAATTTTGTCATTATTTTTAATCTTATAGCAATTCACTAATCCCAAAGAAAATCTTACAAATCGAAACTCCCAAAACTCCTCTCTCTATGTATTTTCTCTACCGGATGTTCGTGTTTGGTTATATATTTGTGGGTATTCTGTTGCGGTATGCTGGCCAGTTTGAGAAATTGGGTTTTTCTGAAGCAATTACTTCTTTGACTGTGTGTTGGGTTTTGATTTGCTGAAAATTGGATTTTTGTTTCTGGAAAAGGACTTGTTGGGATTGTGGTCGCTAGAAATTGCTCTCACTGTTTCTGAAAATTGCTCACCCTCTTGTGGAAATTCCCAAAAACATCTGATCGTTGAACAAATTCTAAACCCTACCAACAGTTACTGCCAGGAAACTTTTGTATGATGTTTGCTTGCTGTCGTCCCACTCTGATTGATGTTCATTGGGTTTAAATGGGGTTGAACCCCAGTTGACAAAAGATAGATCAGATTAAATTTCAAAATTATTTTTGCCTCATCCCTGGGATTAATATCCGTTGAATGATTTTAACTCCGATTTGTTTTTTTAGAAGAGGGTCTAACTCTTAAAAGAAAAAAAGAGTTTGGATAAATTATTATTAAATAAATAAATAAATAAAGTTTTTTAAAGGAAAGAAAAAAAATATATGTACTTATTGTTTGGATAATAAAAATTAATTAAAAAAAATTATAACAATAATTATTTAAATAAAGAGTGAAAATAAAAAAAATTAATTTATTATAATTATTTTTTCAATTATAATTTTTCATTACTTGTGATTTTAAAATACTTTTGGATTATAAAATATTTATTATCTTGTATGATCTTATAATTGTTGTTATATTAATGGTTTAATCAAATGAAACTGAAATATGTTTTACAAACAAACATTGATAAATTTTTTATCATTATCAAAATTTTAACATATTATCATTTTAGTGATGTATTCATATAAAAATTATTAAATATAAAAAATACAATCACATAAAAATATTATATCTCATAAACCAAAAAAATAAATCTTTTTATTTTCAATCATTTATTAAAATTTAACAACTAAAAAATTATAAAATATTTTTATATTAAAAAAAACATGTGAAACTTAAAAAAAAATGATTTTAAAAAAATTATAAGAAGATTATAACATGGTTAGGTTTTTTTGACTAAATTTTTAGTATTAATAAAACAAAATAGATATAATAATTTTTTTATAAAAATAAAATTTTTTAAACTTTCATTTTCTTAGTTTTTTTTAATTAAGATATTAAAAAAGTGAAAATTAAAAAATTTTTATTTGTTTAATTTTTTTAAATTAAAAATTTTTTTAAATAATTTTTTTTTTATTTATTATTTTTTATTTATTTATTTATTTTCCCCTTCTCTCAATCCAAATATAGGGAAAATTAAAATCTCTATGTCTTCGTTAACCTCCTCTATCGCTAAACAAAAAAGTGGAGGACATATCCGATTTATCTTTAAAACATCCAAATCTCCTTTTTCGATTTTTCTTAAAAAAATTAATCCCTGCTTTATCCAATCCTTCTTTTCAATTTTTAACTTTTATTTTTTAAATAAATAAAACAAATAAATAAAATAAAATAAATATAAAAGGAAAAGAAGGGAAATTGGGCTTCTAAACCCACACCAAATTCCAATAACGACAATTCTATTAGTGGCCCAATTCAAAATTCGAAAATAGGAATTCCGAACAAAATGAGATATTAATTTACAGGGTATGTGCCAACCATTCATAACTTGTTGAATAGATTCTATGCTCTTTAAATTTAACCTGATACCATTCCATATAATCTGAGATGTATTTAATTAGCTTCTTAAAGTCAGAATGAGAAAAGAATTTTTAGATTGATTAGGCCCCTTCAGTCAAGGGCTTGCTTTAGGGATTGAAGATAGATTTTGGATTTTGTCGCTTTTTGTTGTTAATTTTTCTTATACTGTACATTATGGCATTTTTAAGGTAAGTTTTTTTTTTTTTTTTTTTCTAGGATAAAACTTCAATGAATTGAGTTGAATCAACCAATGTTTTTAGCATTATTTCCTTTTATGTAATTACGTGATAACATATATTCCTATGTTTATTATTATTCTTGTTATTACTGAGATTCATTGCATTTTTATTTATGCTTTTAGATATGTTTGTAAATGTTGTGCTCTACTAACTATTTTGGTGATACTGATAGTAGCATTATCCGAGAAACCTGGGCTAGACTTATTAATCAAGCTCTTTTAAGGGGTGGAGTTGCTGAGGCTTGCTTTGTTATGAAGAGAGTTGGTTCTAGAGTATATCCTGGAGATGAAGCTCCTTTACCTATGGACACTCTATGCCTTCATCAAGAAAAGGTTGCATTGGCATATATGTTTATCGTTAGGTAGTTTCATTTAAAGAGTTATCTAAACTTGTTTGATTCTCTTCTTCAATATTGATATAGATGTGTGTCTGTGTGTGGCTATCCTCTTCAGTGCATGCCTTGTCATTGCTTGTTATTTTGGCCAGTGTCCTTTTCCTTATTCTAACAGTAATGAACTTTTTTTTTTCATACTATGTGATTAGATTTCATCCTTTTAAAACAGAACATAGAAATGCTGGATCAACAAATTTCAATTTACACAGCAGCGGGAGCCATACGATATTTACACTGGTACACTGACTATTATTCTGCATCTATTAGAAGTTCCTCGTTGTAAAAAGGATGTTTGCTGATACAATTTAAGTGTTATTAACTGAAATGTATTTAACTAAGAATTTGTGAGAAATAATGTTGTTTCCTTGTTTGTGATACTTTCATTTATGCTTCAATCTTAGCAGTCACTTGGGACCTCCTCCGAGAAGGAAAACCGCAGAAGAAGAAAAGAGAGCGAAACATCCTAAGCCTGAATTAAGATTTGAATCAGACAATTAACTTCTTCAATATATTTTGATAATGCCTACTTATTTTAGAGCCTAATTTTTTTTTTTTATTTTAATTTCTCATTTGCGGAACTGTTTACTATCACCCTACTTTGAATACCATATACCACTATGGCTCCACTACCTGGGAAGCCACCTATGTCTAAATCACCAATAGCTTTAGTAACTTCCTCTTTGATTTGTTTCTGTTGAAACACAGTTCTTTCTCCTGGGCAAGTTGTTCCTCCTGGAATGATGGTCCAACTAATTCCAAGGCCTCCTTATATAGGATACTTTATTTAAGATTTTCACCGGAAAATCTTATTGTGAACAATATTACTTATGTAAGATTTTACATAGGTTTTCTAGAATGTACCCTTGAGTAATTATTCATAATGCAATATTATTTAAATTGAATTTATAAAAAAAGAAATTGCAGTGATGTTTTATTTTTTTCTCAATAATTGTCTTAAAAGATCATTTAAGGCATTTAAACAAATGTATCAAAATTGGTAACAAAAAATTTATTATGTGTCACGAAAAGATTTGAATTTTATTTGTTGTGACATTTGAATTTCATCACATATTCTATTATAATATTTTGTGATATTAAAATAATTTGTTAATTACGAATATTTTAAAATTTTCAATTACATAAAAACGTCATTGAATGTTTGTTTTTGTGACGAATATATTTCATCATTTACAATTAAATTTTTATCCATTTTTACTGTTGTTGAACAATTTCTTATGGCGTTATTGTATCGTCATAGGTGATGAATAATTGCTTCACCTATTGTGTGACGGTATGTCACCGATATTTGAAAATTTAACTTATATTTAATGACAATTTTATAGTTTAGTGATGATTTTAAATATTTTTTATTGACAAAAATACTCGTCACAAAAGATTAGCAAATGTGATATTTTGTAATTTTGTCATCATTGAGTTATAAATAGATGATGAAATTTAGGTATCATTATTTTTTACTTTTAGCAACAGTACAAAGGTAACGAATAACATGATGATGATTTTTCATCACAAAAATTTATTGGTGATGTAAAAGTAATATTTTGTGATATTATTTCATGCATCTCTAATTGCAAAATTTATTGTAGTGGTACAAGATTAAAATATGTTTTGCATGTTAAAATTTTAACAAATTAATGCTCTCAAAAATAAATTTCCATGTGCAAGATATCTTGTTGAAGTTACCAAAATAATTAGATTATACCTTGAGTATTTCCCAGCAAAGGTCATTATTTTGTCATATATATAACCAATATATATATATATATATATATATATATATATATCTTGGATCTTAAATGACCAGAACATCTGCTTATTCTAACATAGCACCATATATCGTTTTTTTTTTTTTTTAAATCATAAATATGGAGGAGAAACAGAATCCCAGTCCAAGGAGACCTGTTATATATAAAAGCTCAACAATCAGAACAAACAGCTAAATTGATTTTCTTTTCATTGTCCACACCATCTTGTATCATTCAGAATTTAATTATTGGTGGCTTGCTTTAATGTTAATCGCAAGCACTTGGAACCCAAAGATTTCAAGTCTGCGTTATTAGGGATAAAAGGAGACGGCCTGGTGGATTGTGCAAAAACGTAATCACAGTAATCGTAGGCATGCAAGGCCGCCATGATGGTGGCTGTGAGATCTCCGGTGTCTTCGCCGGTGCCCTTCACGAGACCCATGGCCTTGTTCAGGTTTTCCAATGACGTTGCGTAGGCTTTATCGCAGTCCTTAACCATCTGACTGTTCCCAAGGACGGGAACCTTGGCCTTTGCGAGTTGTGTACCACTGATCAGCTCGTTTAAAACCATTTCAAGAGTTGGATTAGATGCTCCATCAACTTCGGCCGCTAGGAGTTCACGTCGGGCCGTGGCTTGACTGGCCAGGAGAATCATAGCCCCTGTAAGAAAGGCCAATGAGAAAGAGATCTGCTGCTTGTTAGCCATTTTTTTTAACCCGGTTCTTTTGGGATGCCTTTCTGCAATTGTAATAAAGGGCTGATTGGGATTTATATAGGAAACGTCCTGACTCCTGAATCCTGAAGCTCTGATTGAATGGAAGAAAAAAGGATTGCCTATTTTTGGTATATTTTTTAGGTTATATTTTTTTAAATTTTCTAAAAGTGAAACAAGATTAAATTCAAACGTTTGACTCACAAACCAATAAAAGTACCGCTTTAAATAACCGTATGGCTCACCATTGTTTTAGCCGATGCTTTTAAGGCAATGGCACAATGTTCCGTACTTAAATTTCATAGAAATTATTTAAATATTATTTTATAAATAAAAAAATTTTAAAAAAAATATAATTTTTAATAGATAAATTTGTATGATTATAAATAAATAAAGTCTCTATAAGATTAGATATGAAAAAAAAATGTAAGAGAGTTATAAGATTTTACGGGATAACAGTCATAGAAGTATTAGAGATTTAGGCCTTATAAGGGTGTATATTTGTATGTTTGTATGTTTGTATGTTTGTGAGTGTATTAGAGAAACTGAGAGGGTCTACACAAGTATAGTGAATGAGTGTACATGGGTATGTATTTATTTAGGTTAAAAATACTTTATAAGACTAGAGGAGATTGAAAATATTTTATGAGTATTAATTATTGAGTGAGGTTGATATGATTTATATGTTTGTAATTCTCTACAACTAGTGAATCTTTTTTTTATCCGTGGATGTAGGTCAGTTGGACCGAACCACATTAAATTGTTGTCTCTTATGCGTTTGATTAATTATTTGATTATGCTTTCATTGGCTTAATTGGATAGAGATTTTTTTGCCTAACAAGTGATATCAAAGCTATGGTGATCCCCAACAAGTATCAGAGCATGATTCGAAGCATGGAAGAGGCAAGCCTAAAAAAGTTTGATTTAAGAGAAGAGTTTGAGTTCGTATTTTGAAGATTGTTTGCGTAAAATATGAAGACACACAAGAGAAGATAATTGTGAGACTTTCATTACAGGTAGAGCTAAGCATATCTAGCATGAAGACAGATGATTTAATGAAATTTGAATCAAGGTGGAGATTGTTAGGAATAGTGACTAAAATCTCATAATAGATTTATTTGGAATTGGTTAGATATTGCTTGATGGACAAGAAGACTTGCATAAGAAGAATTCTAAAAGAAAAAAAGATTATTAATAAGTAAGTTTGACTTGCAGAAAAAGAATTCTAAGAAATGATTCTTAATAGGTAAGTTTGTATGGTTATAAATAGGTAAAGTTTTATAGGGTTAGGTATAAAAAAAAGATATAAGAAAGTTGTAGAGTTTTATAGGATAGACAATCCATAGGAGTACTAAAAATTTAGGCCTTATTGATGTGTATGTTTGTATGTTTGTAAGTGGACTAAAGGAAACTAAGAGAGTCCACATAAGTATGTTAAATGGGTGCATATAGGTATGCATTTGTTTGAGTTGAGAATACTTTATAGGACTAAAAAAGATTAAGAATATCTTATGAGTTTGATTGTTGAGTGAAGTTGAAATAATTTGTATATTTGTAATTTTTTACAACTAGTGAATCTTTTTTCTCATATGTGGACGTAGGTCAATTAGACCAAATCGCGTTAAATTACTGTTTCTTATGTGATTGATTGATTATTTGATTTTACTTTCACTGGTATGATTGGATTAGGGCATTTTAGTCTAACATGTGATAGTAGAGCTATGGTAATCCTTAATACCACTCGTCGCTGATATCTTTTTTCACAATTTCTTAAATTTTTGCCAATGATAAGTCATTAAAAAGGGATTGTTAATGTCTAAATTGGTGGTGACGGTTCACGAGGAAGGCCCTGCAAAATATAAAGACAGTCAAAATTCAGAAAGCCTAGAAGTTGTAGTTTTAGCAAGGTTTTCGACGTTTAAAAGTCAAGTTTTTTTTTTTTTTGGATGGAATAGCTTTATAAGAGAGAGAAGAGAGGAGATCTTAACTCGAAACTAAGATTTTTTATATTCTCGTAAAGTCTTTTTAACCATTAAACTAAGAGTGAAGAATTAAAAGTCAGTAATTTTCGATAATAATCGCCTAACAAGATTTTTTTTTTCAGGTAAAAAAATTATTACATATTTTTAGGTACATTTTCTTTATTTATGTCTTTTTTAAGTCTCTTAAAATTATTCTTGATATTTTTTACCTTTTTAATCACCTAATACTTTTTATTTTTTTATATTTCATATTATTATTTTTGGATTATTTACTTTTTTATATTTTAACTTTTTGCAATTAAAAAACAGACTTACAAAAAAGATTGAAAGAGTATTATATTTTAAAATACAAAAATATATGAATATAAAGTTTTTCATTCATAATTTTAAATAATAATAATAATAATAATAATAATAATAATAGCATTTCAAAAAATTAAATAAAAAAAGGACAATTATCATTGATGGTGGAATTTTGAAATTTCACAAATAAAAGTTAACATGTGTTAAATTAGGATATATTTAAAAATAATAAATTAATTTATTATTAAATTAACATAAAAAAACCATCTAAATTATTTGTAGAGTTTAAAAAGTCTATTATAGATATAAAGAATATAATAATCCAAAAATATATATTCAATGTAATGATATTCTTTCATAATTTTCATGAAAAATTTTTATATTATGAAAATTATTATATAATTACTTCATTGTTAATATATCAAACACATTTCTTTCAATATATATAATCAAACAATTCTTTACCAAGCTATATTTTATTGCTTTATTAATAATTTTTGAAAAAATTATTGGTATATCTTCATTGACAAAACAAAAACATTTTAACATTAAAAAAACTAGTGGATAAATAATAATATTTTCTTTGTGTTCACTATTCTTTTAAGGTAGTTGTTTGGAAACAAAAGTTAAATATAAACTCTATTTTTCATTTACTAACCTCAAATTATTTTACTCTAAGATAATTCATCCTCAAATTTTCTTTTCAATTAGGTTAATTTATCTTCATAATTTTTTAATGAGGCCCATTTATCTTCAATTTTTTTTTTTATAATGGGTCATTATCTTCAAATTTTTAATGAGATCAATTTATGAGTTATCTTATGTTAATAAATTTTTAAATTTTAGTGAGATCAAATAACCTCGGTATTCACTCGTATTAATACATATATATAATATAAATAAATGCAAACATTTTTGCTTTGATAAAATTAAGACATAAAGGTTAGCTTGTAAGAATATGTACTGTCATAACTTATAGATCTATAGATCTACTGCTACACATAGATTTTAGGAATCGCCATCAATATTTTTTGTTTAAAGACAATTGACCACCTGATTAAATCTGTCCTATTTAAAAATAAGTCCCAAAATAGACTTAGGTATTTTTAAATAATAGATTCTAAAATCCATGAAACCATATTTTAGGTTTAGGAGTGCAATTACGCGTGAAAAAGATTATAGTACGTTCATAGTGTCTATCCAAAAGATGGTATCAATTTGATTTTAAATTATCCAAGTGTTAACCATATTTATGATTTACCAAAATATTAAACTTCAAAAATTGATCTTAAAATTACTCCAATAGTTTTGTAGCAATTTAAAACAATTCTTTTACATCAAAAGTATTCATGGAGACTAATGTCTTACTCTGAAGAGGCTCAATTGTCAGATTTATTAATACATTTTTATTCAAGAAAAATAATTAGTAAAATTTTTCAATAGTTTGGTAAAGTTTATTTTGATGCAGATCTCCTAATAGTTTGATGAGATTTTTTTGTAAATTTTATTTTTAAAAATGCATTAATCTAATAGTTTAGTAAGATTTAATTTTAGATGCAAATCTTCCAATAGTTTGATAGGATCAAAACAAAATAATTTTTTTTTATAAAAATTAATTTATGAGATTCTCTAATAGTTTGGTATAATTCATAAAAATTGAAATTCATGAAAAAATCTTTAATAATTTAATAAGATTCATGAATCTATTTTAGAAACCTTTTTTTTTTATATAGTTTATCTTTGAATAAATAAAATGAAATACATAAAATAATGTATTTGCTCAATTTAAAATAATAAACAATAATAAAGGATAAAATAATAGTAAAAAAAAGAAAGATATATATAATGAAAATAAAATAGGAAAAATAAAATCAAAATAGAAAATAAAATGAAAAAAAAATAAATTATTTGAGATTGGGTCGGGTTATACAAGCGGGTTGTGCACGGATCCTACTTAGGTTACACACAGATCCGGGTACTCAAAACGCTGTCATTTTGGTTGCGTATAAATGTCTAAATTTTAGCCTTTTTTTTTTAGAAAGCCCTTTTCTCTCTTTTCTCTAACTCTAACTTCCCCTGATTTCTTTCTATATGTCTCGTTGAGAAGTTCAACTAAATGTAGATTCTAGCCAAAAACCCAGGTTTCGGCATCGCGAAATTCATATAACTATTGAGAAATTTAAGTTTTTCTAAAAATCCCAAGAACCCGAAAAAATAGCTTGTAGATACCCTATTGGGTCTAGGCTTGAACCAATTGAGCCTGGGCTCAATAGAGTTTAAACTATTACTTATTATTTTGTTTTGTGTTTATTTATTTATCTATTTATTTATTTATTTTGGTTTTATCTTTTTGTTGATTATTCATTTATTTGTTTTGATTTTTTGTTCTTTCATTTTATTTATCTTTAATCTTTCTATATTATTAAATTAAGTGTTAAGATAATGATAAGATTATAGTAATAATAAAAAAATGAAAAAAATAAAATTAATAAATATTCTGCTAAGAATTGGTGTTTGAAGAATTATAGATGGATTCAATTTGTATAGAATAAATCTAATTGTTTTTTGATAATACAAAAATCTTATCAAAGGTGGATTTATAGTTAAGTAGAAACTCGTCTGATTATTCTCTATAAATACAGCCCTGAATCAAGTAGAAAAATACACACAGAAAATAGAGATAAGAGAAAGTATACAAAAAGTAAGAGA